TTACCATGTTGGCCAGGCTGGTCTTAAACTCCTGACCTCAGGTCATCCATCCGCCTAGGCCTCCCAAAGTGCTAGGATGACAGGTGTGAGCCACTGCGCCCGGGTACCACCCACTGATTTTAAATTTCAGATATTGTAGTTTTCAATTCTCCAATTCCCATTTGGTTCATATTTTAGTTTATTTATTTATTTATTTATTTATTTAGAGACAGAATCTCACTTTGTCACCGAGGCTCGAATGCAGTGACGCAATTCTGCTCATTGCAACATCTGCCTCCTGGGTTCAAACAATTCTCCTGCCTCAGCCTCCTGTGTAGCTGGGATTACAGGTGCCTGCCAGCAGGCTTGGCTAATTTTTTTTTTTTTTTTGAGAAGGAGTCTCATTCTGTTGACTAGGCTGGAGTGCAATGGCACAGTCTCAGCTCACTGCAACCTCCGCCTCCCAGGTTCAAGACGTTCTCCTGCCTCAAACTCCCAAGTAGCTGGGATTACATGTACCCAGCACCATGCCCAGTAATTTTTATATTTTTAGTAGAGACGGGGTCTCACCATTTTGGCCAGGCTGGTCTTGAACTCCTGGCCTCCAGTGATCTGCCCACCTCAGCCTCCCAAAGTGCTGGGATTATAGGCATGAGCCACTGTGCCTGGTCAGTTATATATTTTTTGTCATGTATGTTTTTCTTCCTGCCATTGAGCATAGTTATAATGACTGATTTAAAATCCTTGTCTTCTGGCCGGGTGCAGTGGCTCATGCCTATAATCCCAGCACGTTGGGAGGCGGAGGCGGGTGGATCAGGAGGTCAGGAGATCGAGACCATCCTGGCTAACACGGCAAAACCCCGTCTCTACTAAAAATTAAAAAAAACAGTTAGCCGGTCATGGTGGCAGGCGCCTGTAATCCCAGCCACTTGGGAGGCTGAGGCAGGAGAATGGCGTGAACCTGGGAGGCGTAGGTTGTGGTGAGCCGAGATGGCGCCACTGCACTACAGCCTGGGTGACACAGGTAGACTACCAAAAAAAAAAAATCGTTGTCTTGTATCTTAACATCTGGGTCATCTTGGGGTCAGTCTCCTTATTATCTTTTCTCTTGAAAATGGCAGGCTGGGCTCGGTGGCTCACACCTGTAATCCCAGCACTTTGGGAAGCTGAGGCAGGTGGATCACTTGGGGTCAGGAGTTCAAGACCAGCCTGGCCAACATGGTGAAACCCCGTCTATGCTAAAAATACAAAAATTATCCGGGTGTGGTGGTGCATACCTGTATCCCAGCTACTGGAGAGGCTGAGGCAGGAGAATGGCTTGAACCCAGGAGGCGGAGGTTGCAGTGAGCCGAGATCGCGCCATTGCACTCCAGCCTGGCTGACAAGAGCAAGACTCTGTCTCAAAAAAAAAAAAAAAGAAAAAAGAAAATGGCTTCACTTCCCTGTTCTTTTTATTTTGAGTTAGTTTGGTTTGTTTCCTGGATATTGGGATATAGGAATATGATGTGGATATTCTGGATTTTATCATAATAAGTCCAAAGAATGTTGAATTTTCTGTTTTGGTAGCTTAGTTGGAATGAGTTTTTTTGGTTTTTCCGTTTTTATTTTTATTGTTTTGCTATGTCACCCAGTCTGGTCTTGAACTCTTGAACTCAAGCGATCCTCCTGCCTCGGCCTCCCAATGTGCTGGGACTGTAAACGTGAGCCACTGTGCCTGGCCTCTTGCTGATTTACAAACCATACGTGCACCCCCAGCAAAAGATTTAAAAAATAATTCTTCATCCTGGGCGACAAACTGAGACCTCGTCTCTAACAAAAATTAGCTGGGTGTGCTGCATGACCACACTC